AAAGTTTGAAGGGACTCGCGAAAAAAAACTACGTACACGTAGATAATAAAAATGGCATTGAACTGATTTCAGAAATGTATTGTGTAGAATTGCTCACGTGACTTTTTGTGAATAAAAAATTTTTTTTTTAAATTTATTTTTCATCCACAAAGTCATGTAAAGTCAAACAATGCCAGGCAACATCACGAATGCGGGTTTTTAAACGATAAAAAGCATATAGTTCATGAATTGCTATTTACTTTTACAAAATATGTGATATATTCATCGAGATGTATTTCTAAACAAAAAGACAAGAAAAAAAAATGAAAATTTACTTCTCACTGAAAAGAAAAACGATTTCCACCTATGTCGATAACTATTGTTATAATATTACCAATTGTGTCATTTTTTTACCACTTTTATGGTAAAAATTACAAATAGTACCAAAGTGGTTTTAAATACTTTGAATAATTAAATACACAGATACACTAAATGGTAACAAAAATAATTTTCATTAAATATGTGAATGGTACAGCTTTGAAATTCTTTTAGGTGGTACCAATTGCAAATTCTGTCAAAATCAACTGGTACCAGTTAAAATTATTGTTAACTGCGACTGGTACCACTTGAAAATTCTGCTAATTGCAACTGGTACCACTTGGAAATTTTATTAACTGTAACTGGTATCAGGTAAAATTTTATTAACTAGAATTGGTACCAAATAAAAACTTTACCAACTACCAATTAACAAAATTAACTAGTACCATTTAGAGAATTATTAAGTAAGTAACTGGTAACAATTGAAAATTTTGCTAACTGCAACTGGTTCCACTTGAAAGTTTTATTTACTATGTAACTGGTATCAATTCAATTTCTATTTACTCTAACTGGAACCAGTTGAAATTTCTATAAACCATAACTGGTACCACTTAAAATTTTCATTTACTAGAACTGGTACCAATTGAAATATTTTTTAACTACCAATTATCAAAAATAAATAGCACCAATTAGAAAATTTTTTAAGCAAGTTATTGGTACCAATTGAAAAGTTTGCTAACTGCAACTGGTACCACTTGAAATTTTTATTTACTATGTAACTGGTACCAACTAAAATTTATATTTACTCTAACTGGCACCAGTTGAAATTACTATTAACCATAACTGGTACCACTTGAAACTTTCATTAACATGAACTGGTACCAATTGAAACTTTCATTAACTATTTAAATGTTACCAAATAAATTGTTTATCAACTACAATTGGTACCACTCGAAATATTTATTAATCACATATTTAGTACCAATTAAAAATTTTTTAGATTGTACCGATTGTGACTTAGCAAAATTAACACAAATTAGAAAATTTATTAAGTAAGTAACTGGTACCAACTGACACGTTCTTTAGGTGGTACCAATTAAATCTACCTTTAGGTGGTACCGATTAATTCTACCAAATTATACTGATTCCGACTAAAACTTCTATTAAGTAATAACTGGTACCAATTGAAACTTCCATTAAATTTGAAACTGGTATCAATTAAAACTTCCATTAATTATTTAATTGTGACCAATTAAAACTTCCATTAACTATGTAACTGGTATCAATGAAAACTTCTTGTAACAAGAAAAAATTAAAATTTCTATTAGGCGGTACCAATTGTAAGTTCTACTAAAATTAGGTGGTACCAATTACAACTCTTATTAATTTAATTGGTACCACTTGAAATTGCTATTAATTATGCAATTGGTACCAACCAAATCTTCCATTAGATGGTACCAATTGTAACTTCCACTAAAATTAACTGGTAACAATGAAAAGTTCCTTTTAAGTGGTACCAATTGAAACTAACACTAACTGCAACTGGTACAAATGAAAATAATTGCCATGTAAATGAACTAAAAAATGTAAAGATTACAAATTGTAATTAAAAAATAAATTAAATTGAAAAAATTAAAACAATAATTTAAAAAATAAAAGAGAAAATAAATAAATAACATAAATTTAATTTAAGAAATTTGTAAAATAAAGAAGAAAATAAATAAAATAAATTAGAAAATAAAAAGGAAAATAAAAAAGAAAATAAATTAAATTAACGATCTTCGTGTATAAGGGCTGTATAATTTGGTAAATAAAAGAGAAAATTAAATTAAAATTAATTGAATTGAATTAAAGTAAATAAATTAAAAAATAAAATAAATTAAAATATCAATAACCAATCGTTACTATCATCAACTAATTAAATATAACTGCTAAAAATTAAAATTACAACAGTTGCAATTCGCAAAAAAAATTTAAATATAATTAGCAAATTGTAAATTGGAAAACAACCAATTATAAAATTACGAATACTGAACATTTTGTTCGTCCTTGCTGTACCAACTTTCTATCATTTTCCACAGATGAGTGAAATTTGAAGAGAACATTTTGAAACAGAACGAGAGACCAAAAAAAAAAAAAAAATTGAAGGAAATATTCATCTTTTTTTTTTCTTTCCGTTTGATTATCTGTTTAAAACAGTCGCTATTGCATTTCGTTCGAATATATTGTATACATATATATGAATATACAATTTGATTTTAGTGTGTATATGTAAAGTGTTACGAGTACCTCATAACTACATCCACTGAATTTATGACTTAGATTGCAGATAAAGACAGTAGTGAGAAGGAACCTATGCGCGCATATGTATAGAGAAGTATATACACTGATCGCTCTAAACATGAAAAAATATTAAATTACCAACAAGAGTAATTGCAACATCCTGTACCAAGTCATCAGTAATCGGAAGCTATTTTACAGACTATTTAAACTTTGTATTTTCCGCTAATAGTCCTTTTCAATGGTTCTTCATTCATTTATTTCGTATATCGTCAAAAAAAAAAAAAAAAAAAAAGAAAAATCATCTAGCGAGAAAATTTTTATTTTTAATATAGGGGAGTAGAGGTTGAAATTTACTGATTTATCGGAAAAGGATTTTTTTACACTTTGTATTTACTTATTTAACCATTTTTAATTAATTTTGTTGCCATTGTATTTATTTTTGTTCACTCTGTATTTATTTTGTTTCCTTGGTATTTATTTTTATCCATTGTATTTTTTTTTTTTTGCCTTTGTATTTATTCGGTTGCCTACTGTATTTATGTTTGATCTTTTGTATGTACATATTTTGTTGCTTCTTCATTGAAAGTAGAAAAAAAAAATAATTTCTGAATTGAAAAGGAAAAAAATTGTATCCTCTGCTCGTTTCTATTTCTGCTTGATTGAATTTTTTCTTAATTATATACATTGCAAATATTTTCGTCTTTCTATGATTGAATATTACTTTATTTTGCAACGACTAAGTAAAATATTACTTTGGATTTATTGCACTGTCAGTTAAATATGACAACATAATCTTTTCAATTTCATGGAGTTCTCTTGTGATTGACTTGTCACATAACGCACGCAATGCAACTTTAAAAATCTTTCCAAACACTTCAAAAACAGAATTAAAATATTACACACTGAATAATTGCAACCAAGTTCTACTATACAATTAAATGTATAGTAACAATAATTAATAAAAGTAAATTAAATACTTAATTGCTATAAAACTGAAATTACCGTCAAAGGTCAATGGTACCAATTGAAATTACCGTCAATCGTTACTGGTAACAATTACAACTGGTACCAATTGAAATTACAGTCAAATGTTACTGGTACCAATTATAACTACCGTCAAACGTCACTGGTACCAATTAGAACTACCGTCTGTCAAAATTTTCACCAATTGGAACTACCGTCTATCGTAATTTTTACCAACTGAAATTATCGTTAAACGGAACTGGTACCAAATGAAATAACCGTCAAACGTAACTGATACCAACTGAAATTACCGTCAAACGTTATTGGTACTAATTAAAATTATTATCTGTCGAAATGTTTACCAAATGAAATTACCGTCAACGCAACTGATGCCAATTGAATTTACCTTGAATCGCAACTGGTACCGAATGAAATTACCGTCAAACACTCACTGGTACCAATTATAACTAAAAAACAAAGAAACGCGACTGGTACCAATGAAAACTACCTTTAAACGTAACTGATACCAATTGGAACTACCGTCTGTCGTAATTTTCACCAATTGAAATTACCGTCAAATGTTACTGCTACCAACTGATCAATTAAAACTACCGTCGAACGTAAATGTTAAAAATTGTAATAACAAACAATAGTAACTGTTACCAATTGCATTTATCGTCAAACGTAACTGATACCAATTGAATTTACCGTCAAGCGTAAATGATTCGAATTGAAAGATACCAATTATAACTACCGTCTGACATAATTGGTACCAATTGAAATTACCGTCAAACGCAACTGATACTCTTTGAATTTAGTGTCAAGCGTAAGTGTCACCAACTGAAACTACCGTTAAACTGAACTACCGTTAACTGATACCAACTGAAATTATCGTCAAACGTTATTGGTACCAATTAAAACTACCGTCTGTCGTAATTTTTACCAAATTGAAATTACCGTCAAACGCAACTAATACCAACTGAAACTACCGTTAAACGTAACTGATAACAATTGAATTTACCGTAAAACTTAACTGGTACCAACTGAAACTACCGTCTAAAGAAAAAAAAAATCTTGGGAGATGAAAATTCATCCTCCAGCGAAATACGCGCCGACTGAAGAATATTTCACCTTGCACGTCACTCTTTGGAATGAAAACCTGATAATTGAATATTTTCTCAATGATTTTTCTCAAAAATACAAAAAAATGAAAACAAAGAGTCATACAAAATCGTGAGATAAATCTTCTCAGCCTCTCAAACACGGTACAAAAAAAATCCAAATTTCTACCAATTGACAAAAGTTTCTTCTCTTCGACTCCTTCGCCAGTGAGCGGTAGACAAAAAAAAATCATAGAAGAAGAAGATGACGAGAAAAAAATCCAATTTCTATTGTTGATATATTCATATCAGATTATCATATAAAGCCATACATTACAGGCAAGTAGTCAACTAGTCAGTGGTGAATTGAAAGCCAAGTAGTCAGCGTCAGCCGTCGGGTAAACGGTGGATTATACGATTCTCCAAGTCAGCAAAGTCAGTCGGCAGCAGTTGTCTCCGAACCCTCGAATCGGCTGGACGTGAAAACACAAATTCAGTTCGTGTCAAGATTCGTGTCAAGTTTATTTATTTCCCCTCTCCCCCCCGCGGACCCCTGTTTTTTTCCTAAATCCGAATTTTTTTGTTTTTGAATTATTCAAAAGTGATCAAAATAAAAAAAAAAAAGAAAAATTCATTGCTCTTTGTTTTTTTATTTGTAAACGAAAAATTTAATTTCATCCTCGACGACTTTTTCGTTTATTAAAAAAGAAAAATACCCGAGTCGTCGAGGATCATCAGAAGAAAAAAACTAGAGGATTTTCTTTGTTTCAAACACACATTTGTTTTTTGCGATTGTTTCTTTATTTGGGGGGTTTTTTTTGAAAAAGGAGAAAATTATTTCGCGGTAAGAAAAAAAAAATTTTTTTTTATTAAAAACTGTGATATTTTTGAAAGTTTTGCGGCAGAGGAGTTTTGAGTGACCTCTGCTTGCGCCGAGAAGAAGACGGGAGGACGAGTCGTTGGACCAAGGGAGTCGAGAATATCCGTTACGACGTGAGTAATTTTTATACTCTAAATTTCTTTTTTTTCCTAGCGTTTTTTTCCCCACTTTTTTTAGTACAGATTTGTTTTTTTTTTTATTTTACGATTATTTTATTTTACGATTTTTTTTTATTTCCCATGTTTATGCTTTTTATTTTTAGCTTCAATTTATCGATTATTCTTTAGGTGTTCTTTATACTCTTCGTATAGTCTCATATTTCTCGTGCGCTTTCAAAGATTAGAAATTTAATTGAAATCTTCTAAAATTCGTCGATTTTTATTAGAATTTTTTTTATCAAAAATTTACTGAAATATATTTTTATATATAACAAATAAATATTTATTTATTAAAATTTAATTTGCTAATTTATAATTGTTTCATAATTTTTTTTTTTTGAATTGAAATATCTTCAAACAAATATTAATTTTTAATTATGGAAATTATATTCAAAACTGGTAAATTTTTATTTTACATTTTAAATTTGTTCATATTTTGAAATTCGTTACTTTATGGCAAACAAATTAATTCAGTCCGAATATTGTTTAAAATAAATATTTAATTTATAAAAATTAGAGGAAAACAACAATAAACTTTAAATCTTACTATCAAATTAATAAATGAATAAATACATGGAAAAGTAAACAAATAAATAAATGTTTAAATAAAAAAAAAAGTTAATAAATGATAAATAAAATTAAAAAATAAAATAAATACAAAATTAACACAAATAAAAAATGAAATAAATAAAATTAGAGAATAGAATAAATACTAAATAAATAAAACTAAAGAATAAAATAAATACTAAATAAACTGAAGAATAAAGTAAACAATAAATAAATAGAAGTAAAAAATAAAATGAATAATAAATGAATGGAACTAAAAAATAAAGAAAATAATAAATAAATAAAACTGAAAATAAAATAAATATTAAACAAATAAAACTAAAAAAAAATTTGTAAAGCAAATAGATTAATAAAGAAATAAAATTATCGAACAACTCACGAAAAATCAATTGTTTAACCTGAAAAGGTGATCTATTAACAAGATTGTTAAATAGATCTAAAACAAATACATTGTTTTTTAATATTCCTGTAAAACAATTGCAAATAATGACACACTACTCATTTTCTCCTATACTACTTGTTATGATTTTTTTTATTTTTTTTTTACAATTATTCTTCGTAATCTTTTTTTCGGCAGTATATTTTTTTTATCATTATTTCTTTGTATTTTATTTTATTATAGCACTCGTAGTATTGTTTTTTCTTATGTAACATTTTATTTGAAAAAAAAATGTTAAATATTCGAAAAAATTCTTGGAAAAATATTAATGATTGTTAATTACTGTAAAACTGAATTGAACTTGAAAGAAAGACAAAATTCATGTATAAATATAAAGTTATATATATGAATATGTGTGTATATATATATTCAAAATTACAAATCAATATTTCTCAGGAATCTAATTATTAATAATTTATTCATAATGAAATTCCATTCCCTACGAATTATTATTATTCTTTTTTTTTACTATTTATTATATATCCAAGTGACGTAGGTCAATTAAAAAGGAAATATTTTTTTTGTATCAGTACAACTTAATGATTGGCCACCATTAAATTATTCTTCATTTTTAAGTTTTTTATCTTCTCATTTACATTCAATATAAGAATTGAAATTAATTGAATTTTTTTTTTAAAAACTGTTATTAATTATAAATATTCAAAGTAATTATTTGAATTAATAACTAAAATGAAGTATTTTAATAATTATTTACTAAAATTACTTACCCCAATTAATTACTAAAATTACTTACTACAATTAATTACTAAAATTACTTACTCCAATTAATTAATAAAATTACTTACCCCAATTAATTAATAAAATTACTTACTACAATTAATTACTAAAATTACTTACTCCAATTAATTAATAAAATTACTTACCCCAATTAATTAATAAAATTAATTACCCTAATTAATTACTAAAATTACTTACTTCAATTAATTATTAAAATTACATACTCCAATTAATTACTACAATTAAATATTCAAATTAAATATTAAAATTACTTATTTCAATATTAATTATTAAAATTAATTGTTTGAATTCAAATTATTACTTACTAAAATAATAAATTATCAACTAATTAATACACTAGTTAATTAATAGAATGTTTAAATATTTACATTATTATTATTATGAATAAATAAATAAATAAATTGTTAGGGGAATGTAGTCAAGGTTGGCCTACTGTCTAGGTAGGCCACTCGCGTTTTTTTGTCAAGTTCACTAGCGCCACCTACGCGCATTTTTGTCGAAGCTTGTCTTAGTGAAACCTAACTTTTTGTTCAATTACATTTTCGGAAAATCGAAAATTGTGTTTTCTGTGACGTCGGTACAAAAAAAGCTCAAAAAAAGTTTTGTGCATAATGTGAAAAACCATTAATAAAAGATAAAAAACAAATTGAATCGTCAAGGCAAGTATGCAGAAAATTTGTGGGACTCATGGTTGAAAGGAAAACAAAGTAAAAAATCGAATCCCGAAACGTATTTCTTTATGGTTACAACAATTCGGTAATGTTACTTACTGTCAAGGTCGGCCACTATGTGTTTAAAATGCGCAAAGTTGAGGACGAGCTACTTCATTTGCAAAAACTGCAATTCTGTATAACTCATAATATAATTGATCATCTTATTAATATTTTTATTTAATTTTATTAATATTTTAGTGCAAAACTTTTTTTTATTTATATTTATTTTTTTATATTGTTTATTGTTATTATTTTGTTATTTCATTAAGTTACAAACTGTAAACAATAAAGAATCAATTTTCCGTAACTCCAAACATGTTATTTTATTTTTTAACGATTAATGCCCTTTGAATTTTAAACATGGCCGACCTTGACTGTAATGGCCAACCTGGACTACAAATTTTTTTTTTTTTAAATCTTTATAACTTTTTCATTTTTAAACCTGTCAATTTACTTTGTACAGAAAAAATGTTCCTATTAAACAGGACTTTCCAACCATATACTTCAATTGTCCAAATTCATTTTTAAAAAAAAGTTATAAACAAAAGTCAAAAAGGTGGCCGACCTAGACTATGTTCCCCTACTATTATTAATAATTTTAATATTACTAATCTTAATTAATAATTAATTAGTTTGAATTAATTAATATCAATTGTTAATATTATTAGTATTAATATTAATATTTATAAATTGTTTATAAATTATTATTTATTAAAAATTTGTTGACAGCAATAATAATAAAATTTGTAGTGTCAGTTGAGCGATTTTATTTTACAATAAGGAAATTATTTATTGTTGATAAATGGAATTAAGTTATAAAGAGGACAGTTGTTTTATGAGATTAAAAAGAAATTTTTCTTCGAGTATATGTATATGTAAAGAAAATTTCATTTTACAATACAAGTAGTTAAATGCCTTTATTTTATCAGCTGAGTAAAATGAAATTAATTTTGTTGCTTATCTGAATTAAATGTTTGTACACAAAGCCGATAAAATGAAAAGATGAAAAATTCGTCTGAAAATGAAGGAAACAACAGTTTTTAAAATACTATATAAATATACGTGGTACTTCAAATATCTTTGGCGTTAATTGTTTGCAATATAGTTTTTTATCGAATTCATAATACGGAAAAGATTTTTATTTATTTATTTATAATATTGATAATAAATTAATAGAAATAAATATTTGTATTTCAATATAAATACATTGTCAAAAAAAAAATTACGAAGAAAAATTAATAATGTTAATAATAATAATAATAATAATAATATTAATAATAAATAAATGTGACATAAATAAATATTTATTACATATATTTAATTTATTGTATTAAACTATTAATAATTATATAATATAATTATTGCACATAATACATAATTTAATAAAATATTAAATTTCTGTTAATAAATATGTATATTTTTTATTTATTTATTTATTTATTCGAACATGAAAATCAGTTCTGAAAAAATTAAAAGATGAGTTGATATTAATTTTACCTTCATATTATGCAAGGACACGAGGTCGAGAGAGACGTTATAAAGTAATTTCTTCGTAACCGGAAGGTTCCAGACTCTCGATTGTCAAAGAGAAAACTTTCACTTGTGTTTTATATTATGTACGAAAAAAAAAATTATTCCTCTCGTCCGATTAGTAATGAACTGGAAATTTATAATTATTTTCATTTGCGCTAATTATTTTGGCAGTCAATATGAATTTCATCCTCTATACTATTTCCGCACTTTTTCACAATTTACAAAAATTTTTTTTTCAGAATTTTATGTTCAAATAATTAAAATAATTAATTAATAGGTAATAAAGAAAGAAAAATAATTTTTCAATTAATTTTTTTCAACGAAATAATTTGTGATTATTTGCAACTTCTATTTAATTATTTATTATTCAATTGTAGATAATTTAATTTTTTAATTTATCATTTATTATTATTTATTACTATTTATTATTATTATTCATTACGTTGAATAATTATGCTGGCAAAAATAAGCGTTAATTATTTATCGTTAATTATTATAACATTTTGTCAGATATAGATAACATATAATTATTTATTTATCGATAATTATTCTAATCGTAATTATTTATTTTATTGTTTGTTCCAATAATTTTACGAAATAAGGAGAGAAAAAATATTAATTAATAGCTTAATATGTAGGTGCAAATAAATTAATTGTCATTAATTAATAATCGAAAGAAATTAATGAATTATTAATAACAAGTACGTATAGTTTATTAAATAATATTAACTAAATAAAATATCTAAATAAAGTAACTAAATAAAATAACTAAATAAAATAACTAAATAGAGTAACTAAATAAAATAACTAAATAAAATAACTAAATAAAATAAGTAAATAGAAAAACTAAATAGAAAAACTAAACTAAAAAAAAACTAATAACTAAATAAAATAAATATTAACTAAGAATATTTATTTTGATAAATAATATTTATTTAAATAATAGTTTTTTAAATAAACAATTTTTGGCCTTTTTTGTAACCCATTTGCATGTAAAGTAGATAAAAAAAAATAATTTTGTAAATAAAATTTAAATAATTTTTGTTTTCTAATATTATGAAATAAAAATTGAAAGAATTAAACAAAATTAGATTCTAAATAACAAATATAGAAAAAAGATAAAAATAGAATCGATGGAAATAAAAAATTCATTCATTTGATTGAATAATAAATAAAGTTTTTAATAACTCGTCGATAATATTAGCTTGTTTCTTATGAAAATTTTCTATTTATTTTTAGTAAATACGATTGCATCAAAAACTTGTTTTCAATTACGGTCATTATCTTCGATTCCTAAGGGTATTTCCCCTTTTTAACCTTATGTATATACATAAACTTTCACGTATATTATTTTCTTCCTGATGAATAATTTTTTTCTTTTATATAATTTTTTATTAATAAATCATTTATTGATTCTTTCGAAATAATTATATTTCCCCAGAAACAAAAAATTTGTGAAAAATTCTAATTCAATAAATTATTATCATTTTTCAAGTAACACATTATTTTCAACGCTCTTTTTTTATTTTTTTTTTTTTTTTTAATTATTTAAAGTGTTGTAAATGAGATTTTTTTTAAGTGTTGTTGTTATAATTATAAATTTACAATAATAGAATAATAGTAATAAAAAAGATAATAAATTAATAACAGTAATATTATTAATAAAAATTCTAATATAATAATAATAATAATAATAATAATAAAATTAATAACAATTCTAATCATAATGTTACTATAATTAGTAATAATTCTAATAACAATATGAATCTAATTAATAATAATAATGAGAAGAAAAATTTATTTTAATTTATTTTTTTATATTTTATTTATTATAAAAAAAATGCATCTCTTTTTACGTAATAACAATATTTTGGTCAATTTTCAAATTCTCGAAATTTGAATTTCATTGGAAATGACATTTCGTGTTTTTTTAGAAATCTTCCTATTGATTCGAAATTTTATCTAATTATAATTAATTACATTGAAAAGTATGTCAAATAACACAAAATGGCCTTGTCGATTTATTTACCACCGAAAACTCTTTATTTACAATCTCGATATTTATTATTTCAGAATAAATTAATTTGGCGTAAGAAAATTGAATTACATACTATTCATAAATATTAGTCGACAGTAAATATTTATGTAAAAGTTTTCTAATTTGTTTTCACAAAAATTATATTGTATATAATATATAAATTATGTAAAAACACAACAGTATCGTAAAATTTTTTTTAATAGTTAAAAAAAAGAGTTTTGAATTTTTTTAAAAATATTTCTGATAGTTATACAATATTTATAAATTTTATAATATTAAATTATTGAAGGTATTTATTATTATTTATTATTATATAAAGTAATTATTGTCGATTATGTATAGTAGTTTAATATTATAGATTATTATGTATTCTAATTAATTAACTTAATGAGGCAAGTTAATAAAAATTTTGATTAGCCTAATTTATTATAATTATGTTAAATTATAAATTTATTTCATTACTAAAATAATTATTATTTATTATTATTATTATTTAGATAATATTATTTAGACTAAACTAAATTATTTATAAATATTTCTTAATCAAATTTTGTTATTAAATTGTTAGTTAAATTTTGTTATTAAATTATTAGTTAAATTTTGTTGTTAAATTGTCAATCAAATTTTGTTATTAAATTGTTAGTTAAATTTTGTCATTAAATTGTTAATGAAATTTTATTACTAAATTATTTATTGGTTAAATTTATTTTGGATTAAAAAAATAATAAACTTCGAATTTAAAATAATTTAATGATATTTGACAAGTTTTCTTTCTCAAAAATATAAAGTAGAAAATTGTCAAGAATATATTTTATATATAGAAAATGCAATTTCCGTATCTTTCAATAATATTGCACGTATGAATATACTTTCAATCTGTTCTTCGTTTGAAAAGTTGCGTTCCAATTTACATACTTTGCATATTTTCTTTTTTTTACATTTTCTCATATATTGCTAATAAATCTCATATTTATTTTTAAAATTCATATTTATAAATACTTTTATTATTTTATTCTACATAATATTAATAATAATTAACAAATCTTTGTGAATAAAAATGTGAAAAAGTAAAATAAAATAAAAGTTAATAAAATATATTAATAAGAATAATGATAATTAATTTATTATTATAATAATAACAACTATAACAAATATTTTATTATAACAATAATAATTTTTATTATTATTTATTTTATAATAATAATGCATGATAGTAATAAATAATAAAATAAATTAATTATAAAAACTCCAAATTTCTTATTTCTTCATTTTCGATTTAGTTTAATATTTGTCGAGGAGAATTTTATAAAATAAATTTTTTTTTTAGTAGCATACATTTATTTATGAATAAAAATTCCATTGTATGCAGTTATCAACAACAACAAAGAAGTAAAAAAAAATATTTTTGCTTAGAAAGAAAAATGAAATGCCACTCTATTCTTTATTTATTTAATTTTATATTTCGTTAATTTTTATTATAATTATGAATAAATTTTTATAAACAATTTTTATAAATAATATTTATTTAAACGAATTTTAAAAATATTTATTTAAATAAATATTTATTCACACACATAAATAAATAGTAAGTAAATAATAAGTAAATAATAAATAAATAGTAATAAATAAATAAAAATCACTTTATATAGAATATTCTCAACGAAAAGAAAAAATATTTTTTCAAAAAATAAAAAGCAAAAAAAAAAAATAAAAAAAAATTCCTGATTTAAAAAGAAAAAGCAAAACAAATTGACAGTTTGCGATGTAAAATCACCGTTTCTGAAACGAGAATAGCGTATATCATTATGATATTAAAGGTGACACTTTATATACACATATAAATAAATAAATATATATATATATATATCCTGTTTTATGCCACCTGAGACTTTTTGTCCGTATTTATAGATAGAATGTGGTGAATGATCGATCATGGTCTTACTCACGTGTGCAACACGTGGCTCGTCTCTCCCACTTTTATTCAATAAATGAAACGTGTCATGCAACAAATTCCATTTACTCATGCATGTAGGGGATCTGCAAAAATTCTTTCAGAAATTAAAAAAAAAACCTGCCCTTGACATTGCTCGTTCCCTTCTTTAATCATATAATTGAATCCAATAATTACCTTCAGAACATTTAACAAAAAAAAAAAAAAAAAAAACACAAGCAGGAAGAAAGACTAAAAAACAGACATCAATTCGTAATTATTTGAAGAGAAAAATCTATAAAGCATTAGTGAAAATTAAAATTTTTTCTATATTTAAAAATATGCACAAATTTTAATTTAAAAAAATTTTTTTTTTTAATTCGCAAATAATATAAAAGTATAATATTTAAAATAATATTTAAAATTATGTAAAATAATTAATAAAGATCTTAAACTTATTTGTTTGGCCGTGAGGCCAAGCAAAGAAGTTTAAGATCTTTATTAATTATTTTACATAATTTAATTTTGAATTATTAATTCATTAAATTATAATTAATAAATTTTTTTCATTAGAATATAGAAAAATTATTTTTTTATTATTGACTTATTTTATTTTACTTACTATTTCCAAAAATGTATAAATTATTTATTTGTTTATATTATTTTATTTACATATAAAATAAAAAATTGCAGCCCTCGGACTGAATTTAGTAATAAAAAAATATCCAAAGTCGCAAAAAATGTTTATTGCAATATTTTTTTTATTATTTACTTATTTTTTTACTCACTATTCTCAAAAATGTATAAATTATTTATTTGTTTATATTACTTTATTTTTATAAAATAAAAAATTGCAGCCCTCGGACTGAAATTAATTTATAAATAAAAAATATCCAAAGTGGCAAAAAATGTTTATTGCAATATTTTTTTTATTATTTACTTATTTTTTTACTCACTATTCTCAAAAATGTATAAATTATTTATTTATTTGTTTATATTATTTTATACTTAAATATAAAATAAAAAATTGCAGCCCTCGGACTGAATTTAGAAATAAAAAATATTAAAAGTGTCAAAAAATGATTGCCTAATTATTTGCAAATAGTCGCACATTATTTGTAAATAAATAAAAACTATCTTTTTGTGTTTATGAATAAAAAGCGTTGTGCAATAAAAAGAAAATTTAAATCGACATTCTTTGAATTATAAAAAAAGTTTGTGAGACGGAAAATGAATTTCTCCACTTGAGAACGCCAAGGTCGCCGCCAGGTGGGAAGAAAAATTCCAAGCAAGAATTTTTCTTGGAAAAATCCACTGCCATCTAGTGATGACCTTGGCGTTCGCAGGTGGAGAATAGCGTCTCCATATTGAATCTCAAGATATTCGTATAAATAATCGTAATTCTTCTTTATAATCAAATCCAGAGAGTTTAACTATTAATATAAATAACTCAATTTTTATTTTACGATATTTTTTCCTTCTCCAATTTTTAGTCTTGGAATTAATTTTTCTTAATTAATTGCTATTCAAAAACTTTATAGAAAACAGAAAAAATAAGAAATAGGATCATTTTGATTTAAATTAGGAAATAGGACAAGTGAATAGGAACACTTTTTCTTTTCGACAAAGATTTTTATTTTTTTTATTTTCTGAAATTGAAAATATTTTCTGCTGGAAAAACCCTGTTGTTATCTGCGTTCCATTTTGAAATTATTGCATTAATGATGTGCGTCTCTCTCTCTCTCTCTCTCTCCTTCTCCCAGAGAGACTTTCTAAACCGACACCTTCTGTGAAGTGATATATAAATATCTATACATACATAATTCTGTACTTACACTGTACAATATCAGTTGGAAAAAAAATTTTATGCACTTGCCGATGCATATATATGTATACATTAAGTAATTTTCTCGATAGAGCACGCTTGATATAGCGAAAATATGAATATTTTTTCTTTTTTTTTTTCTCAAAACGAATACTAAACCATTTTCTCTCCCTGACCAAGTTCTATTGTCTTAAATTTGCAATTATTTAAATTGTATGCTTAAAATATTGTTTTTCTTGTTTATTTATATATTTATCTCTAATTCTCTATTGTTACTTTCGTTTTTAAAAAATTATCACTCTTTTTTTGCAACAGAATAAATATTATTGTTTGTTTATAAATAATTTATTATTTATTGTTATTATTACTTATTATTTTTTTAGCCCTTCCTCCCACTTTACCTTAAGGTAGAAAGGGAAAAAATATTTTTTCTAATAGAAAAGTTATTAGAAAATATTTATTATTTTCATTCTAAATAATATTCCCTCTCTACCTTAAGAAAAAAGGAGGAGACGTTTTTTTCTAATAAAAAAATTATTAAAAAAAAATTATTCATTATTTATATTCTTAATAATATTTTTATTATTATTGCTATTATTATTAATTATTTTTTGTAAATTCCCCTCGAACTAGGGGGCAATTATTATTTATTATTTTTTTTGACCCAACAGGTAAAAAAAATACTCTCTATCCTCAAAAAAAAAAAATTATTGCACGAAGAAAAAATATTAGCGCAAATTTTTTTTTCTTAATGAAATCCTTTTTTTTCGAAATTCTGAATTTGTACCCATTTTTTTTTTTGCATTGAGGAAAAAATGAACGAGAATGAAAAATGAAATGAATTCATTTTCTTTATATGAAGAATAAATCAAGTGTTATATTTGCTGACATTGCATCACAATATTACTTGTGAATTGTTAAAAAAAAATGAACTGTGTGCAAATAACAATCGTGAAATGTTGCATAAATGACAATTTTTCTTTTCAAAAAAGAAAATATTTCATTATTATTATATATTAAAGAAGAAAATATTTTTTTTGTTCTGTTTGGTAAATATAATATATAATAAAATTGAGAGAAAGAGAGTTGACGTTTTCCGGATTAATTAACATGAATTAGGTGTAAAATTAAAAAAAGGAATTTTTTAAAAAGTGAAATGAAAATTTTAATAATAAAAAACAAATTGTTTTTCTATATTAATTTTTTTTTTTTTGCGAATTCTGAGGGAAATGAGGTCGTATTGAATGGACTTGAGCGAGAAGTCAGGCCATGTTCATTTCGAAGGATATAACCTTCATTTATATTTGCATTTAGGGGCATGACAATTTCTTCTTTGAGATTTTTTGCGATTTTCACTTTTTTTTGGTTTTTCTCAGAAGAACAAAAAATTGCAACTTTTCTCTTTTTATTTTTCGTTTTCTTTGAAGAAAAAAAATGCAACTTTTCTCCTTTTATTTTTCGTTTTCTTTGAAGAAAAAGAAATGTAACTTTTCTCCTTTTATTTTTGATTTTCTTCGAAGAAAAAAATTGCTAATTTTCTCAATTTATTTTTGTTTTTCTTTGAGGAAAAGAAATTGCATTTCTTCTCGTTTTTTTTAAGGGAATTTTTTAATATAATTATTTTTTAAACAAAAATGGAAAATTTAATTTATCAAAAAAGAATTAATTCTAGTTTTTAATTAAATATTTCGTTAATTTAAATAAAAATTTAACTAATTAAATTAATTTGTTGACAAAAATTACAACATTATTTACTTGTATATTTTTTTTTAAACTAACGATGTTTAACGCACTTTTTTCCTCTTTTTTCCAATGGATCTAAATTTATATAAATTATTGAAATTAATTCTGCGGTCCAGTGAATATATATTAGTACTGCTTCAACCGCACTGAATGATATTTCATTAGAATTAGTTTATTGCTACTAAAAATAAAATTCTGCGGTTAAAAAGAAGTGAAAAATTTTATTTTCTTTTGAACTATATACATATATTTATTAGAAAAAATATTCTTTTTCTTTGTATTAAATAAATAAAGGTATTTTTTGCGTTTCAAAAATTTCTCGGCAAAATTATTTTGCCTAATGAATTTAAATTTAATAAGTAAACTAAATAGACAATTTTAAAAAATTATTAATTTAATACTAAATATTTTGTTGAAAAAAACTTATTTATTTGCCATTTTTCATTATTAATAATTTCTAATATTTTATTTCAAACTGGAAAAATATTTGCCAAACAATTTTTTTTTCCTAATTCACTATTTTCCGTTTACAGTCGAAAAATAAATCAAATGAATTTATTGCCATGAAACTCCTTATCACTAAACTCATTGTAAATTAACTTGAATTTTTAATTGGAAAAATTTTAATTTGTTTAGAGTTCAAGCTTGTCAGTTTTCGAATTGGCATCAAGGAAAGGAAGTATAGAGAATTTCTCTTTTTTAAAATCTTCCACATTCAATTAATTGCAACTCTTCTTTTTCCTCTTATTTTTGATTTACCCTAAATTTTCAATGAATTTTTTTTTTAAATGCAATACGCAAAAAAAAAAAATGTGAATAAATTATAATTATTTGCGTGGTATATCTTATCGGTTGGAATGCTTCGTTCTTTTTTTCGGCAAAAATTCAGTGGCCTCGCCTCAGGGGGTCGAAAAACACAGAATTCAAGTTCCTACTCTCTGAGAGAGCAGGTAACACACGCGGGTTAATGACATTACTCATGATGTAATGCACGAGATAATCGTAAGTGGAATTTCTTCTTCCATTTCAAAACAAATAATTATTTATTTACCATTCTTTTTTTTTTGACTAATTTATTTATTTTTAATTATTTCTTTTTCTAAAAAAAATACTTCTCTAGTAGTGAAATAATTTTAAAAAATTTGGAAAACTTGTAACTATTTGAAAAATAATACTTTTAAAATAATTATTATATTTAATTAATTCATAAACAATAACTCGTCAAATTCGTAGAATAATAAAAAATAAATTATTTATTATTTAATTAATATTAAATTATTATATACATATTATTATATCTAATAATTATTTTATTCATTATTATAATAATTATTATTTATTGTTAAAATAATTATAATAATATTTCGGGGAATTGTAGAATATTTTGTGGAATAATTCAAACTATTTTACAAAAGTTAATTCTAAATTATTAATAGTTAATAATTAATATTAATTAATAATATTAAATATTATTAAATAATTAATTCTAAAAATTACAAAAATAGTGTTGAAAAAATATTCTTTAGATTTAAGAAGAAAAATATTACAGTAAATATTTAATTATTAATTCCACTTTTTTTCCTCTTGAATTAGAGAGTAAATGGCAGAGATTTTTCGTTCCTCCTTTGGATTCCCTTTTAGCGAAACAGGTTTTTTTTTAAAATTGTAATTTGTATGGAAATTCACGGCTAAAGTGTTGCAAAAGTTGTAAATTACGTAAAAGTAGGACTTTAACGTGGGAAAATAGAAATTTTATATAGATTTTTTAATTTAGTCATTTTTTTTCTATATAGTAGTTTTATCATTTTTTTAATATTTCCTCGTTTCTTTCTTTTAACATTTTTTTTTCTCAATTTTATATTGCCTCATCGTACTAAAGAAATGTCGTGAAATTGAAAAAAAATTTTCTTTATTATTTTCCCTTTTAAGTTATTTTTTTTATCTTGTCACTTTTATAAAAAAAAATACAATTTATTCAACGGTACTTTTTATTTTTTTTTTTTATTCCGTTCATTGATTTTTTATCCCTATTTGTTTTGAACTTGAATTTAGTCAGTTCTATATTGATTTTCAAAGTTTGTCAAATAAAATTTTTTTGATATTTTTAGAAAATATTTTATTTTTATTATTATTTGTTTAGTATTAATGGACTAAGAAATAAAAAAATGTTTGGAATTAAAAAATTACTTTTTATTATTTTTTTTTTAAATAAAGGTGAAAATGTCATCTTTATTTCTTCTCACAATTCTCATTTGCGACGAATGTGTAAAGAAAGGAAGGGACAGGTTGGGGAAAAAAACTCGCTAAAATCAATATTCAGGAATTTAATATTTCATGTGTGGCTGTTGCTCTAATACTTCCATATATATAAAACGAGGAAAAATCAGATAATACGAATATGGAGAATTAGTGACGGATAATATTATCGATTTAGCTTATTAAATTGTAATTTGTAAAATTGTTTCAGCAGGAAATTAAATTACAATTGATAATAGAGATAAAAGTGAGGATAATTTATTTCTCATAATGCCCCCCATTATTATCTACATATATTAATCATCTAATTGCAATTAATTATTATTATTGTCCAATTATAATTATATGCAGAATTATAATGTAATATAAAATCAATAAAAATTAATTTCCCAAAAAAGTTGATGAAAATGAATAAAAATAAATAATAATCATACTAATATACAACAACAACAACAAACAATAAAAATGTAAATATAATTATTTATAATTTTATTATATTTATTGTATTAGTACAATAATAATAATAATATTTAATTAATATAATAATAGTGATACTATTACTCAGTCATCAAATAATTAAAAATTGATGTTAAAGATCACTCCAAGTGATTTCTTTTGCAAGAATAAATTGAAAAAATCAGTAAACAAAAAATACCCAAGAAGACATGTTATTTGGAAGAACAATTTTTCTTTTAAATTTTCTATTAATTTTTGTTTATTTGTTTGTTTGTTTTTTGTGGTTTAAAAAAATATTCCATTTTGCAAATGACATGTGTTCGTGCCAAATATATAACTATATGGCAAGAAATTAATTATAGTTGAGACAAAGAACGTTTTGTTTGTTTTCTCATCTCCTTCATATACTCTGCGAATGCATACATATTATAGGATGAGAATTGGGTCTAAAAGCATTATGTATATACACAAAAGCCTTTAATTTTCCGTCTACTATATTAATGACCA